GAACACTCAAGTGCTCTCCCTCTCTAGGCCCAGACATAGCCCACTAATTAGTATTGTTCACTCAACCAATTAGTCTTCTATTACGGCTCTGTGACTCTCCGTAATGCTTTTCTGTCCCCTGGGGGGGCGGTTTGTAAACTTGCAATTAATGCTATCAGACTTCTCTTATCTTTGCATGTAACCTATCATGTCGAAAATGGACGTTCCCCTCGTCGTCAGTGATTGTTTAACCTTTCTCCCCCCTTCTAGTGATCTCTTCTGCAGTCGAGGGATCTTGTTGTGTCGACCCAGGCGGAATCAACCGTCGACGCCTCATGAGGTCGTCGCCCTAATCATGGACTTCATCTTCGGGCTCTATAGCTGATCTTGAGGGAAACGAAGCGTCGAGGGTTGAGTGCTCAGCGGAAAACAAGTATAGCCACGTATCATGACGCCGTTAGTCCAGGTGTCCATCACATTTTCTCACACAACAATCATCATCATCATCATCATCATCATCATCATTATTATTATTATTTTGCCTGAAATGAACGACTTAATGCATTTCCAATAAGAAATACAATTAAAATTTTAAAGAAGTTTACGTATGAAAATAAAAAATTTCAAAAACTAAATCGAGACATTTGCATTCAATCCCTGAATCACACGTGGCTCCGACAATATTGGCCATGTTGTCTAAATATAGTATTGTTTATAAGTCTTCTACTCATAAGATTTTGAGCGATATTTAGCACACAACCTCATGTTATTGTAACTTCACCTTAAGGTCACTTAATAAAAATACTTTAGTACAGGAGTTAATAATAAATAAAAGAAAATTTACAGAAAGATTAGCATGGTCTCACCCGAAGGGTGACATGCATGAAGAGCAGTCCAATTATTTATTTATTTATTTATTTACACGCAATAACAAAGGTTAACGGTCCAAATTTTTTATTTAGAAAATATTAAGATCATCCTTGCTTTTTATGGATGCCGGTTTCTTGCAATATTTATACTATTACCTACTCATTTGCCTTTTCTTACACGGAATTAATTCCCATCTTATATACGCGTTTAGCAGTTATTTAACTTATTTTTTCCGCTACAAGCTCTTCCTTGAGCGACAAACCTTTTCTTACAATGAGAATGGAACATCTCATATTACGAAAAAACAAAAGTTGCAAATATTTAAGATTACAGTTTTACGAGTTAGTTGTTGCGTTCTATTTTGTTTCATTTTTCTTCTTTAGTGGCATGAATAAAGCTAATATTCCATAGAATTTACTTAAAAAATATTCCATACAATCTTTCAAAACAATAAATAAATATCAGCCATCTTTTACACAAATTAAGCATTTTATCCGTGGAAGATGTGAGTTCATTAAAGTTTGATCTTTTTTTTTTTTTCCCCCTGGAAGTTTTTTCTTTAAATAACTACTATATACTACTGATTACTACCGACCATCAAGCCTAAAGCTATTTCGTGTTCTAGTGCCACCGAGAATTTAAATGGGATGAAACTTTGAGAGAAGTTATGGATTCGACCTTGTCATGTACAAATTAAACCTACTAATTTTTAAGCGTAGAAATTTGGACTCTAAGGGTAACTCCTGATGGAATTATACGAAAAATTACACACAATTATTTCAACACCCTTGATAAATGAATAATAATTCTAGATTTAACTCAAGCATGCATTTCAACAAATTTAACTTTCTTTGCCAAAAAACGATAGTAATGCAAGAAATCGTAATCTTTACGTAGATATATATGTAGATCAATCAGATTCATTATATTTGATTAAAAAAAAAAAGTGGTATGTCATAGATAGGTAGATGGATATATGACTTGTTGGAACACATAATTAATCGTATAATCATCCGACAGGAATAAAGTAAATCAAAAACAGTGGGCTGCTTAATTACATTTGTATATTATATTATGTATAGAGATGAGAAGAGAGGGGACCTCCTGCGCTGCATAAGCATTGACTAGGATAGGGGGACCAGCCATAGAAAAAGAAAAGTTGGTACGGACCACACAATCAGACAACTGTAGCAGCTGCAGCGCAGAACTGTCTGAGAGAGGGTCTGAAGAGAAGAGGCCACTTGAGTTTCTCAGACCACAAACGCAACGTGCGCACTTGGCAGAGTGTCCACATCATTGCCTCCCCCTCAAACACATGCGCCACCTCCCATGCACGTGTCTTCTTTGAGCACTCTTGTTTATTCTTTAAGTGCGTTTTGAATAAGAATTTGTGTGTCGTGTTTTAAATTATGATTCATAATAATTTATTATAATATTTTTTTTTATAAAAAATATACGTAATTTAAGAATAATTATAAATCATAATTCTTAATCAATGAACTAAATATCCTTTAAAGATTAAAACTCTACTAGTTCTATGATGTAGGTTTTGATAAGTGGATAGATAAAACCCATTATTTTAAAAGTGATGGGATTCTAATCTTATAGAGATGAATATTATTTTTGTTGTTGTTCTTTTTTTTTTCCCTCAAATAATTCTACGAGACACTAATAATATTAATATTGATGTCTAAATAGGATTCACATTTATTAGTTTACACTTTACATCGCATTTTTCAATCGGAACATTGTCTGAATTTTGTTTTGTTCCGGGTTTGATGCAATTTGGATTGCACGAATAAGAACTCTCATAATTTACTATTCAAACTTTTGGTTAATCTATTTTGTCTTTTTATGCCCTTTCTCTCTCTCTCTCTTGATAATAGTTAATCTATTTTTTTTAATTTATATATTGTTTAAATACATGTTATAATTATAGAATGACATAATAAGAAATATTTTCAAAGGAATTTAAATACTAAGATATTAAATTAAATCACTTTCTTAGTTTATATGAAAAAAAGAAAACATTCTTATTATGTAAGCAAATAATAAATATTCTCCTATGCTTAATTCAAATAGATGAACTCATTTTGTATTTAAAAAAAATGATTTTTACAAAATAAAAAGACTATTGCTTTTAAGAAATAACGGTTCTCCAAAAGAGTAGTAACTCTAAGTGAATCTCTAGCGTTAAAAAAAAAAAAAAAACTATATACAAGATAATAGATATATATATATATATATATATATACAAAGGGAATGTACACAGTAAGTAAATGTACACATTTCTATATAATAGATATATGGATTAACCTCTAATTCGTAGATTTCAATCCATGAACGCCCTATCAAATATATGTAAGGGATATAGTTGTTATCGTTCTCATTATATCTATTTTTCAATGCTGATCTATCAAACTATTTTATGATGAATTTTTGAATTTCCTAGTAAATATCCATGACCTAACTTTTAAATTATCCTCCTAAAATGCAAAAAGAAACTTTTAGGTCATCACTTAAGATTAAGAACAAAATTGCTATAGGATTTTCAAGTTGTTTCTTTAAAAAACTAGTATTAGGTCTGTTTCATTCCAACCCGTGGTCTAGATAGTGAAATTGTAAATTGTTAGTCTAGTAGACATATGCAATTTATTTATGCATTTACACTACTCATTCTTCTTTTTTTTTTTTCGCCCCTTTTTCCCTTGTTATTTATGCAAATTTTAGTCGTTAATAGCATACTAGTAATGCACGTAAACTAAATCATATCAAATGCAAATGCTATATTTATTTTGAGAGTTTTAATTTGATTCTAGATCATAATTTTTAATTCATTACAGTATTTTTATTTTATATAAAAATTAAATTTTAAAAATTAAAATTATGAATTATAATTTTAAACTCATAAATTAAACGTCATCTTTAAATAGATTAATGAATAAGTTGTTTTCCAAATTTGCATTTAGAGGTAAAGCTCAAGGAAAAAAAAAATGGTTCATGAGAAAAGAATGAGATGACCTTACGTTGACTATGCTCGAATGCTTTGTTATTGTGATTTGATCAAAAGCAGTTTCAAAACCGTCATTTGCGTGCGATTAGCGAGTGGCATTTCGCCACGTAACTACCCACTTTACTCCAGCGCATAAAAGAGAAGACGACAAACAAGGAAAAAAAACAAATTACCTTCTCTAGCCAAGATATCTACGGCTCAAATTTTTTATCTGTTTAATTTATATAAAATTACGTAAAAATAAAAAAATATATAAATTTAAATCTGGTTTAGTTTATAAATTTAAATTAAAATGTGATATTTTTAAAAAAATTTTAATTTTAATAAAAAAACTAAAATATAATATTTTTTAAACTTGAAATAAAAAATTAAAATTGATAAAATAAAAAATTAAAGTTGATGAAATAAATAAGATCTTAACCATTAAAAAAATATTTCATTTATTTCGTTAATTTGAGTTTGTAATTTGAGTTGAGATATAATTTTATGTTAAAATTTTTTACTGTAATAAAAAATTAGATATAATTTTTTCTAAAAATTTTTTATTATAGTAAAACTCAAATCGGTGAAATAAACGAAATCATAATCTATTAGCGTATTAGAGAATCTCAAAAAAGCAATGAAAAAGACATCCAAATTCCCAAACAGGGAAGCTAGCAAGCATTCATTATTATTTTTCTATTTTCCCGGGAAACAAACTTGCCAGATCTGTTTGGTAAAAAAAAAAAAAAATACAATTACATTACAAGCAGCCAAAATACTCAACCCATTCATAAATTTCCCACCGTTTTTCAATCAATGATCATTTCACAGTACCACAATTCACAGCTTTCTATTTTTTTCCCATAAAAGAATAGGAAAAGGTCAAAAAAAGGAAGAGAAAAAAACTTTTTTCCTTTTCTTTGTTGTTTGTTTTTCTGGGGGAAAAATTGGTTGTGGAAAACCGACTTTTAACAGAAGCAGAATGCGGTTTTTTTATGGGTGGTTCACTTTTATAGTCGGCTAGTATGAAAAAAGTTTTCGCTTTTTCGGCACCGAATTTCTTGTCATTTTTTTTTTAAATTTTTAAAACCTGGAAATTTGCATTAAAATATCTCTTAAATCTTTTGGGTGTTCGGTGCACGACGAAAATGTTATGAAGCTTACTCAGAAATAATTAAAAAAAATGGAAGTTAAATATTTTTTTTTGTTTTGTTTTTTAAATTGAAGATTTGGGTTTAGATTAATGGGGTTTTACAGTTCATTCCTCGTCATAACACGCTTTACGTTTCCGTGTTGATATTCCTCCTTTCTTCTTCTTGTTCTTATACCTTTTTTGCTTAGCTTTCACAACCAGATCTCAAAATTTCAGACATTCTCTCGCTGGTGACACTTTTTCAAACGCACATTTATATCCTGCTTGTACTTGGGAATCTTTGTTTTCTGTTTGGTTCCCGAGAAAAAAAAAGGCCGTAACTAAAATGGGATGCTTGTTTTATGGGTAACCGGGTATTTAAGCTAAAGATATCCTTGATATTATTAACTGGGTTTAGGCTAAAATAAACCCAGCCTTTGAATTTCACTCCATAATTTGAGGATTTTGAGATCCTGTCTTGACGTTTTCTTAATGGTAAATGCAGTTCAAAGTTTGAAGCTTGTTTGTTGGTGATTCTTGGGTTTGGTTTAGTTTACTTGGTTTGGTTTGTAATTGTGTATATTAGTATGTTTTTGAGAGAAAAAGGTAGAGTGGTTTGAGGGTGTTAAAATAGTGTCGTTTGAGGGATTCATGGCTTCCAGGGAAGGGAAACGACACCACCATCATCATCATAATCTTGTGCCTCTTGCTGCGCTGATAAGCAGAGAGATGAAGAGTGAGAAGATGGAGAAGCCTACTGTTAGATGTGGTTATGCTGCTCAGTCCAGAAAAGGAGAAGACTATTTCCTCATGAAGACTGATTGTCAACGAGTCCCTGGAAATCCTTCTACAACTTTTTCTGCTTTTGCTGTAATCCTCTCTCTCTCTCTCTCTCTCGCCATTAAATCCTCTTCACTTTGGAGTTTGCTTTTTGATCTGTGCTTATCAAAGAAGAAGAAAATCTTTAATTTTCTGATAATTTGAAATGATTGTAAGGAGCTTCAAGCAAAAATCCTTGTAAGATTACTACTTTGTTGGATGTGATATTGTGTATTTAGTTTGTAATGAGAAGCTGTGTGTGCTGAGATTTTTTTCTTCACTTATTGGTCATTTCTGTTCTGCTTATCTTGTAAGCATTCTTTATCCTTACTAAATTTCAGATCTTTGATGGGCATAATGGAAACGCGGCTGCAATATTTACAAGGGAGAATTTGTTGAATCATGTGTTGGGGGCTATACCCCGTGACTTGGGTCGGGACGAGTGGCTTCAAGCTTTACCGCGGGCATTGGTTGCGGGGTTTGTGAAGACTGATAAGGAATTTCAGAGCAGAGGTATGGAATTTGACCTTTCTTTAACCCCTTTTTTTAACCAAATTGTATTATGGATATAATTTAGGTTATTCTTATATTATCTTATTATTGTATTCAGGCGAAACTTCTGGAACCACAGCCACATTTGTGATAGTCGATGGGTGGACTGTGACCGTGGCGTCCGTCGGAGACTCCCGTTGTATTTTGGATACTCAGGGAGGAGTTTCTACATTAACTGTTGATCATCGACTCGAAGAGAACGTAGAAGAGTATGGACTTACTGCGAGTTCTTTTGATTCTTTCTTTGCTTCTTGTGGATTCGCCTTTTAAATGGTTGTCCTGTGTTTGCAGAAGAGAACGTGTGACCGCAAGTGGTGGCGAAGTTGGGAGGCTTAGCATTGTTGGTGGAGCAGAGGTGAGGAAGCTTTTAAATGTTAATCCCAGGTTTTCGATTGTAAGATGGTAGATGTTTACTTGTATTATTGTTGGTTAGATTTTTGCTTCATTAGTCTGTTCATTAAAATTTACAGATTGGTCCGCTTCGGTGTTGGCCTGGTGGTTTATGTCTTTCTAGATCAATTGGGGACATGGATGTTGGAGAGTTTATAGTTCCAATACCGTATGTCAAACAAGTGAAGGTAATTTTCTTTTGCAGGTTAAGTTCTTCAATTCTTATTGAATATATTTGTCTGAAGTGAATGCTGTTTTACATCTTAAATTGTGAAGAGTTCTAAGATCAAAATCTAACATTCTTCTCCGTCTAAAAGTTATCAAGCGCAGGTGGCAGGCTTGTAATTGCATCTGATGGCATCTGGGATGCCCTATCCTCGGAGATGGCTGCAAAGTCTTGTCGGGGGTTGCCCGCCGAACTTGCTGCTAAGCAAGTTGTAAAGGTGATTACAAACTATTGATATGCCAGTTACTCGTTCCTAGTCCAGTTTGATGGCATGCTCTTTCTAATTACTTTTAAGGGATCATTGTTCAGGAAGCTTTAAGGACAAGGGGGCTAAAGGATGATACGACCTGCATAGTTGTTGATATAATTCCGCCAGATAATTCAGCACAGCCTTCAACTCCTCCAAAGAAGCAGAACAAGTTTAGAGCTCTATTATTCAGGAAGAAGTCTCGTGATTCCGTAAATAAGCTATCAAAGAAGCTCTCAGCTGTTGGAATTGTGGAAGAACTTTTTGAGGAAGGCTCAGCAATGCTTGCGGAAAGGTTAGTTTACCTTTTGCTTATGTAGAGTTGACACTTGCAATAGAAAGAAATATTTAACACACAATCAACAATGATCTGATTGTTAAAATGTCCATTTGAGGTTTGAGTGTTGCTTTCAATTCCATTTAACCAATAGTAACAGATTGCTCAGCCATCAAGCATCTTTTTCACATGCATTCTTCGTTTTCTATTGGAAGTTTCCTCTTTTACTCTTATACGAGTTAAAACTCATTTTCTTCTTGCAGATTAGGAAACGACGATTCAATGGGGCAATCAACATCTGGACTATTCATGTGTGCTGTATGTCAGGTTGACCTTGCACCAAGTGAGGGCATCTCAGTTCATGCTGGATCGATCTTCTCCACCAGTGCAAAGCCCTGGCAAGGGCCTTTCCTCTGCGCTGGGTGTCGTAACAAGAAGGACGCAATGGAAGGAAAACGTCCCAGCGGAGTTAAAGTGGCGTAGCTCCTCTATTTGTTACCACCCTCATATTCTTTAACCCTTGATTCTTTTTGCTTCTCTAAATCCATTCTCGTAGGCCAGGCATTGTTTAAATCTTACTTTCATGTTGCATTAAATGTATATGTAATGGACAAATAATGTAAAAAAAAAAAAGGAGTATTAGCAATTGAGAAAGATTTGGTTCTAGGAAAAGAATGCCTTGTTCTCAGATTCTCTCCCCATGGGGAATGCCAAGATCAACTCAACTATGCTTGTTCATAATGAATGATTTGAGTAAAATATAAAAGTCAAACAAGATTTAAGACATTGGTTTCTTTTATTATTGCACTGTTTCCGTTTTCCTTTTATACTAGGTCATTATATTGTTAGTGCATTCCTGCTAGATCTGGTTAAAGTAATGTCGAAATGAAAAATTATGCAGATAAGACAGAGTTCTACTAGTATATATTTTCAAGCCATACAACATATATCTTCTTTGTGAGATTCACAACCTAGACCAGGTTATCTCCAACAATGATCCACTCAGATCTGGATTCTGATTTAATTATTCTTGGTGTCTGTTTTCAATGTCTAGACTTTCTTGGATGCTTTTGTAGGATAAAATATTAGGTATCTGGTTTCAGTTATAGCTGATTAGGTACATTTTGGAACGTTGCAAAAAGATGTTAAAGAAATGCCCCCAGAAGAGATATTTGACATTATGGAAGAAGGAAAAAAAAAAAAAAAAAACCTTGGTGGGGGTGTTTTAAGAACTCCAAATACATATTTCATGTATGGACAATTTACCTAATATTGGTGGAACAAGGGTCATAACTGACTCTGAAAAGGATTTAAATAAGTTGCAGGTTTTGGGAACTTGGACCCAGGTGGGGATAGGAGACAAGCAGCCTATTCTCGGCAGAGGGTTAAAGAAAGAGACGAGAATTTAACAGGTCAGCCAGATCTCTCATTATTCTCATCTAGTCCCCCCATCTCCATGTGCTGCATTTTTTCTTAATGTGCAAGAAACAAAGAAATTTCTGCTTCTCTGTTTAGTATATGTAATCTTTGTTACAGATTAAAGTCCTAATTCTTTATTAACGAGGGCAACAAATGACACACAAGACATATAATAATTCACCTTTCACGTGAGAGTTTTATTAGAGTATCACACGTGTCACACTTACACATTTTTTTTCCCACAAACATCTTATACTCGAAATGGCGCCCGATATATGTAAAGAATCAATCCATGTGCTACTTTTGCGTCAGTGCAATAATTAAGCTCCACACACTCGAGGATCTTCCCCGAGTGAAATGGCCAACGATTTCCAATATTGTAATATACGTGTTCCGATAAATAGAACTTGATTTTCCTTTTACTTGGCCTTTGTTATTTGTCATATATATATATATACACATGATAAATGGGTATATCATAGGACCAAGAGTGTCTAAAACTAATTGCCAACAACAGGTGCTTCTTGAATCGTCTGAAAAAGGTTTGTCAAAAAAGGCAAAGCAGATAATTTGAAAACGGATTGTTGTTGGAGGTTTGAAGCAAGACAGTGAAGTTTCTCCTTCCAGCGTTTGCTGCTTTGTCAAAAAGGCGACGAAATGAACTTGAACAGCGGGTCAAGCACCATTTCTATGCTTATTCATGGCTCGAGCTAGTGGAGAAGGACTTAGATTCGATAATAGGTACAGGATAGAGAGAAAAAAAAAAAAAAAAAAAAAGAAGGATTCCTACAGTTGTGAAACTATCTAAAGATTTTCACTTCCTAGGGCTTTGGCGTTGTCTGTGACGCCTGATAGATGTTAATCGTACTAGCTACAAAGGCTATGAAAACTACCGAGTCTCCTAGGCATCGGTCTGCTCAACTTTCCAACAACAATGACCAGATTCCAGCTTGCTATGATCGAACTCCCACCAGCGCGGTTTTGTCTTCAATTTCTTTTTATTCTTACGTCCTTGTAAACCATGATTGTTACATATTACTTTCGAGGAGGGAGATGCCGGGCTGATAGCAAAAATAAATGGAAAAGCTAAAAATGTCATCAATAATGTAACGCTATTTTACTTATCCTACGTTTATCTTTTCCTAATATGTAGGTAGAACTGCGAGTTTAGATCGGACTAAACGGGCTGGTTCGAGGCCCGCTCTTGAGCTGGCTCAGCCCGCTTAAGTGTTCGGGCTAGGTCGGCACGGCCCTAACTCCCGAGGCCGAGCTAGACCGGGCTTAGGTTTCAAGCTCGAAACCTTATTCGGGCCGGAACATTTGTTTTAATTTTTTTTCTTAAAAATACACTGTAAATTTTGGGCTCAGTCGACCTCCTCCTTTTAGGGCCGGGCCGGTGAAAATAATGGGCCGGGTCGGCCTGGCTCGAAATTCTTATTTTTAGTGACATCAAAATTTTGTATAGTGACTAAACAATAGAGTTGGAAAAAATAATGGTAAAAAATAATGGTCAATGTTGAACTTTTTTCAAAATAAGTTATATTTTGTCTTATTCATGAAAGAAAAGGTATGCATCTAGAATACAAGCCAATGCCAGATTGCATTATTGTGATGCATTTGGACTTGTTTCGAGTCATTGTCTCTTTTGCGAAAACCTTTTCATTCATATTTTCTTTTCTTTTTGTCTCCTTAATTTCATGTCCCCAATAACATTAGGTGAATGTCAATTAAAATGCCAAGTAACATGAAAATATGTGATGTTGTATTTTAATAGGCATGACTGTTTTTATTTTATAATGTGATATTTTAATTGAGATGCCAGTAAAGTTATTAAAAGGACATAAAACATGACACGAAGTAAATACAGGAGTTTCATAGGCTATCCTATCCTAAAAAAAAGGCTTAACAAGCTACAAATATACAGGGTTACTCTCTAATTTACACGGTAAGGATATCTGACTCAGTTCAAAAAGTTTCTCGCGAGTAACCACCAAGTTTAGGAATTACGAGATTTCATACCAACTTAAATCCGTGCAATACTTGAACTTGGTCACTGGGAGTGGCTAGTGAGCATATCTGCTGGCTAAGTGAAATACTTGAACTCGGATTATTCTGTTCTAGTGCGGAGATTCCCTTAGATAGTTCAACCCCAAACTGCACGCTTGATTGAGGACTTTTTTGTGTCCATTAATTGTTTGAGAGTTTCTACCGTTTCTTTTACGAGTAAACGTGGAACCTGGCCAGGAATCTCCCCACGTGGTAGAAGGTTGGTTTACGTCACAACTCAAAAAAATTTAAATTTAACTTTTTCTAGACAAAATAAACACGCCTTTAATATTATGATAAGCCGAAGATGGAGTTATTTTACTGGAGAACGTTGTTATTTCCCTGTTATACGATTCCTAATGGCCTCCCTTTCCTTGCTTGTTATGTTCTTTCTCTCCCCTCTTCCGCTTCTCAGCTCGGCCGAAGAGCAGATACATCACCCGGCTTGTCCACCATTTCGTTGTGGGAAATTTGGGGATATCTTGCCCCCCTTTAGAAATAACTCCAACTCTAAATGTGGGTTGTACACAGTTGATTGTTCAGAGCCAGTTCCGAAGATACAGTTGAAAGAAGGAGGATACTGGTATGAACTTGATGACATCTCTCGGCATGGACATCATATGGCCATCAAGAGCGGAGCGCCACCCGCACCTTTTGCTGACATCAGTTGTGAATCCAAGGACAGTTTTGCTCTCCCTAGTCCTTCCATGATATCTAACCTGTCCACGACTTATTTGTTGACCGTCTTCAATTGCAGCCAAAACTCAGGCATTCATGTCCCGGCAGGATTTGATCACACTCCCTGCAGAGATTATGATATCTACTATACTCTTTCAAATATTAGTTTCTCGGCTTTTACACCTCACTGTTCGATGATCCAACTCCCAGGCTATTTTCAAACTCCCAAACATGATCCCAAACATGCTGCATTCTAGTGATGCTTATTATACATTTACATAGCCTGCTGTTGCTTTATATTTTATATTTTATTTTTTTAAATGCTGTTGCTTTATCACATGAACATAGCTTCGTAATGGTTTTCTTAACAAGTGGTTGGTTTGAAAAGAGAGACTTGGCATGCTGGGAAGTCTCTCATACCAAGTCTCTCTAAAATGCTAAAATATATGCATGGCTCGTATGTGCTTGTTAGCCATCTTGATGCGCAATAAGCATTAATTTTTAAAGACGGCAATTTGAAATTTACTGATTTGCTTGTGTAAATAAATAATTTATATTTATAAAAAATTAGAAATTTACTTGAACATAGACAATCCATGCAGATTCTCCTATGAAAAAATAAATAATAGGCAGTACCATATACAAGTCTCTCACCAAGATCATCCATTTTAAAAAAGACAAGCTCTATATTTGTACTCCCTACAGACTAATACTTGTTTTTATCAAATATTAGCATATATATTAAAGATAGAGTTCCAAGAAAGCAGAGTAAAAGAAGCATAGTGTCGGTTTTCTTAAACCAAGTTTGAATATTATAGTCCTTGCAATTCCTGAAAAGTAGGATATGGGAAGGTTCATGGTGCCTACCTACCCACTCTCCTTCTTTTTCAACATTTCCTTTTCTTTCTTTTTTCTCCAACTAGTTTAAATTACTAATAAAATGCTATCATGAGTGTTGTCCTAATAAAATATTACGATATTATGAAAAAGAAAGACAAGAGGACCTCCATTCAATAGGCTTCCTTAGGCAGGAGAGATGGAGAATAAAAAAGATAGTGTTGAAATGACGAAGAGCGTGAAGAATGAAGATGATTATAATAATTTTTTATTAGATTTAATTGTACGTTTGGTATGTTAGATGGTGTTGTAGCATAGTTTAGGACACGGCTTAATTAATTGAGATTTAGATTAATTATGTTTAGTTTTTAAAGCAAGATAAATTGCAGAAATAAAAAGAACACCTACTGATGCAGTTTAGAGCATACACTTATATCTGTGGGGTTATGTTTAGACTTTAGACAGTAAATAATTCACTATATTCTAGAAATTACAGATACTAACAGAGTTATTTACATATGACTCCCTCTTAGACAATGAAGTTGCTGTGAAGAATTTCCGTAGTGATGCTATTTAGTGTGCACCACACGTCTTTTATTCACTCGGCAAACTCTCTTTGACCGACAAAACTTATTCCTAAAAGCAACAAACCTCTCTCCCAAAAAACGTAATAATTAACACTCAAAAACTCTTAAAAGTACAGACGTCTCTATAAAAATTCTCAAACTCACATACTTTTTCTCTAAATATTTTTTCTATTTAATCCGTACCAAATAAGCTAAACATAAGTAGTTAAAAATAAGGCTTCTAAAGGTACTCAAAAATTTCTAAGATTCTGTTTATTACATCGATTTGAATTTAAAATTTAAATTTTATTACATTACAAAATTTTTAAAAATAATCATATTTAATTTTTTTATTACAATAAAAAATTTTCTCATAAAATTACATCTTAACTCAAATTAACGAAATAAATAGCGTTGAAAGTCCACTCTTCAATATTCAATCCTCCAGAGCTCAATCTCTCTCCTCTCTCCTCTTAATATATTTTGACGGTCTACACCACAAGTTTCAGCAGCCCCAAATGAAAATCCTCTTCTCCAATCTCCCGACATCAGCCTTCTCACCACCGTTGATCTCCATACTCCTCATCAATATCTTACTCCTCTTTTCAGATAATTGTTTTGTGGGCGCTGTAGACCCAGTGTTCCAAAACATTTTTTAGATATTAAAATTATATTGTTTTGTGGGCGCTGTAGACCCACCGTTGATCTCGATACTAAATGCTCTTAATATTTTGTATTTTATATAATATTAAAATTATATTTTGACGTTTTTAAAAATATTTTTTAGATATTTTAAAATTAATTTTTAGAATATGTAATGTGTAAATTATTTTTTTTATCAATTAAATAAAAATTAATATATTTTTAAAAATTAATTTTAAAATACTAAAAAAATATTTTTAAAAATATTAAAATATCACTTTAATATTATTAAAAAAATAGAATATTAAGAATATATTTTATTATAACACAAAATATTAAAATGATTTTATCTCAAAAGATAATCATGCAAAAAATACTAAAACTCTAACGTCTGAGGGCAAGCAAGTAATTTTACCTGTGCGCTTCCTAATCGTTGAATAGTCGTCCCTTGTGTTATCCAGTGCGCCACCATAGGGGCGGCTAGCTATAGAACATAACATTATGGCACAACCACGTCCATTCATTCTGGTGGTGCTTGGTGGGGATACACCTATCTAGTTAAACCAACTTTTTTTTTTTTTTTAAACTGTGTCGTTGTTACGTGAACATGATACGTATCCCATCACACCTCTATTATTGAGATCAAATATATAATTAACAAATGTAATACATATATATATATATATATCTATGTGCGTGTATATATACATAATTATAATATTTATAAGCGTTTGGTCATAGAATTAGCACACAGGGAACAGAACGAGATATTTTTTATGAGTCTCTAGCACAAGACTCTGTCACACGTTCAAACATAAAAATAACATATAAATACATCGAATTACAAATGTACTAAGAAAAAAATTGAGTACTGTTTATTTAATTTGCATAAACATGTAGTGTTTTTAGGTAGTATATGACAAATATATTTACACAATAATAGAAAGTTGTAGTGATAACTTTTACCAAAATAGAGTACTACAATTATAAAAAAATAAAATAAAATGAAGTACTGTTAGATCTGATTTTACATCAAGGGACACACAATATGATATCATAGTTTGGTGCACAGCTACATTTACGGAGCCATGCCTAAACAGTAAACAGTTCACTATGTTCTAAAGATTTACAACACCGACGGATTTAATCACTCATGACTCTCTCCTAGACAATGACACCGTTGTGATGAAATCTCTAGAGTGATTATTTAACATGCACCACGCGTCTTCTATTTGCTCGGCGAACTACCTTCGATTGGCAGAGCACTTCCTCCCAAAAGCTATAAATCTCTCTCCTGAAAGACGATGAATACTTCAATATGCTCACACACTCACAAACAATCTTGTGAATATTTTTCTCTATTAAGTCCGTATCAAGTGAGCTGAACGCAAGCCCTTAAAATAAAATTTTTAAACCTACTCGAGAATCTCTCCCTCAAAGATCTTTTCTTTTCTCTATAATTCTCTCTTAGATTATTTCTACAAAATCTTCTCCTCAAAATATATGCCTGATTCTCTCAAAATAATATAACACATAATCTCGTTTCAAAGTAACTCCATAAAAAAATCTCTCTAAAAAATCTTTCACGATTTTCTTCTCAAAATAAAATCTCCACGATTTTATCTACTTCATTATCTTACTTAGACTTCCTCTAAACACGTTGATCAGATAAGCCTCCCTTTAATTCAAGACACCAAATCCCATTTAAACTTTTAAACCAAATCCAATGCTTTAGTCTACTTACACCACACCTCCACGTTTGTAGTATTTTAACGTTCAAATCTCAAAGCTTATCTCACGCAAATCACTAACCAAGTGCAGCTAAATCATCTCCAATGAATTCAAATATGCAACTCTTGAATTTGAATTTAAATCTTCTCCACATCATATTCGGCTTACTTCACAAAAACAATCAAATCCGAATTAATCTTGACTTACAAGCTATATCTCAATTTAAATTTGAAACTAAATCCATATCACTTTATCTGCATATAAGCCATCTTCTGTTCAAATTCAAATCACATTTTTTAATCATTATCTCCACATATCACAACTCAACAAAATCTGCAACTTCAACTTCAAATCTGATTTTGAATCTTCTTCTGCAACCTGAATTTTTCTTGAACCTGTTTTTTGAATTTTTATGAGATTGTCACTAAATTGCCAACTAAAAAAAATACCTAGCATCCTTTATATTGTTTGGTCGGAAGGAAGGGGAGTTAGAAGGATGAATGATAGTTATTTAATTAAGTTCTATATCGTCCATTTGTGCAATTTGTTAATAAATTTTTTGAATCGTAAAATAGTCTTTTAAAAGTAAAAGGTGATAAATTGCATGAATCCTTCCATTAGTGGAAGGATTCAATTTAGTGGATTAGGAGGGAGAGCACATCCCCCTATCTTCCCTCCACCCAAATAAGGGATTGCATCTCTTCCTCCACCTCTCTCCTTCTACCCATCTCCCTTCCTCCATCTCTCCCTCCAACCAAATACAGTGTTAGTGTTAAAGTTGTCTATCATGAGTGTTGTACTGATCAAATGCTTATTTTGCAGGGCATCCAAGAAAAGTGGTCGTGATAGCAGCAATAGGTAACATTAATATTATTATTACTAATATTTGATTATCTGTTAGTTTAAATTACTTGCGATTTTTAATTTGATAAGTTGGTTTAATTTGTCATTTCTTTCATTTGATTGCAGCTGCAGCAGCTGTTGGAACTGTCGTATTAATTGTGTCACTCTGTTGTCTGAGAAAGAAGTTCTCATCCAATAAATCAATCCTCCCCTGGAAGAAGCAGAATCGAGAACAACGAAATATTGAGGCGTTTCTAGAGCACTATGGGGCACTGCAAGCTAGAAGATATAGCTATTTGGATGTCAAGAAAATGACCAACTCCTTCAAAGAAAAATTAGGCCAAGGTGGGTTTGGCAGTGTGTACAAAGGAAAGTTAAATGATGGCCGTCTCGTTGCGGTTAAGGTGTTAAATGAATCGAAAGCTAACGGTGAGGAATTTATAAATGAGGTAGCAACTATTAGCAGAACGTCACATGTCAACATTGTGTCTTTATTGGGTTTCTGCTTTGAGAGTGCTAAAAGAGCTCTCATTTATGAGTTCATGCCTAATGGATCTCTTGAGAAATTCGTATTTGATGAAAACACAAGTGAAAATAGTAATCATCAGTTGGATTGGGAAACACGCTACCAAATCTCACTTGGCATTGCCAGAGGACTAGAATATTTACATCGTGGTTGCAATACTCGGATTTTGCATTTTGATATCAAGCCTCATAATATTCTTCTCGATGAAGACTCTGTCCCTAGAATCTCAGACTTCGGCCTTGCAAAAATCTGTGCTAGAGAAGAAAGCCTTGTCTCCATGACAGGTCCACGAGGAACTATTGGATACATTGCTCCAGAGGTTTTTAGTAGAAACTTTGGAGGTGTCTCACATAAATCTGATGTATACAGCTACGGAATGATGGTTCTAGAATTGATAGGAGGGAGAAAGAATGTGAATGTTCAAGTAGATAATTCGAGTGAAATATATTTTCCACACTGGATTTATAAGCGCCTTGAGCTAGATGAAGAGCTTGGACTGAAGAGAATTTTAGATGAAGGAGACCGAGTGAAAGCGAGGAAGATGATAATTGTGAGCTTGTGGTGCATACAGACCGACCCGTCAAACCGACCAGCAATGAGTAAAGTCATAGAGATGTTGGAAGGGAATCTTGATTCCTTGCAAGTGCCACCCAAGCCTTTCTTGGCTTCTCCTTCAAGCTCGCCAAAAGCAGAATTTTCGAGTACTTTTGAATCGTCACTAGACATTATTGAAGCTAAATTTTGAGGTCAAAGACATTATTGAGGTCAGACAATATGAAATCTTGTGCATATCAGTCGTGTTGAATTTTTAGTTCAAAACTAATCTTTTAAGACCGCGCTCATTTATAATTTGCATTAGCCCTTTTATGAGACTCACAACCTAGCCACGATCATATCGGCAAAGAGCTGATTCTAATTCTTTTATTTACTTGGGTCCTATTTTCTGTCTAGAAATTCCTGCATATATCTTTAAAGGGATAAATTATTTTGGTATCCCGTATTATAGCGAAAATTGCTCTTAATACCCTGTGATTTTGATAATATCAAAACGATGCTTACATTTTTAAAACAACTTCTTGATACCCTGAAGTTAATTTTTGAGACATAAAATGACTTTAGTACCTTTTTATTTGATTAGCCAAAAACTAATGATTTTAGAAAAAAGACCATTAACTTTTTTATTTTGTTGTTTTCTTTTAAATAATTTAATTTTTTGAAATTTTTTCAGATTTTTTTTTAAATATTGATTTCTATTTAATTAATAATAAGGTAGTTTGGATATTACATGTCTAAAAAGTTAGATTCAAAAAACTTAGGTGTTTTTAAGAAAGTCGAGATACTGTTTAATATTATTAAAAACACAGAATATTAAGAGCATATTTTATTACAACCCATGATATTAAAATGATTTTATTCATTATTTAAATGTGTCGCATTATCATTTAGCTTTTGCCAAGTAGTCAATTGGCACAAACGTGGTTAAAATTGTTAAAATATCAACACATCAATGACGAAAGTATCAAAATTATAATTTATTATAACTTTAAGAGTGAGTTTTATATCATTTTGAGTTGTACGGGACAAAGTGAGTAACTTTTATTTTTTAGAGGTTAAATTTGAAATTAAAACCTTCTGTTATATATCTATTTTTCTGTACATGATTCTCCTAACAAAGGTATAAATCACTGATTTGCTCAAGTAGATCAATAATTTTTATTTTGAACATCAGAAATTTATTGGACATAACAAACAAAAAAAATAAAAAATTGAGCGTTGTTTTTTGAAAATTGTTCCAAAATGCTGGCAATTCATTCAAACAGCCCCTAAACATTAGGCACTTACGTCTCTCCCAAAAGCATCCATTTTTGAAAAAGTCCTCTATCATGCCCCTAAGCTGAGAACATGATGCTGCAATACCGTATGGCATTAACCTCATAAGCATGCAAAGTGTCAATCAAAGAGAATAACAAAACTCCAAGAATCTCCAATTTAACTGATAAAACAATAAATAATTCTTCAAATAAGTTAAATTTCGAATCTTAGAGCTTCAATTAATTAATTCCCCCAAAATTTTTTTTTTTTTTTTTTTTTTTTTTTTTTTTTTTGTAGAGACCACATAACATTACTAAACACATAACTACATCGTCAGTAGACTTTAAAGCCCTTTCAACCATCTCACCAATTTGTGACCACAGCGTCCATTTTTAATATTAAACACATCTGTCTAAAAGTGCTATTCTCTTATTCATTCCGAAACTCTCAATTAAAGAAAATCAAGCATTCAAACAACCCAGACTCTCAATCAAAGAGATATAGGGGTTAAATTTCAGGCCTGAAAGAAAGAGAACTTACCAGACCAATTGATACTTATGAATCAGAAATTTAGAGGTATAACTCCTAGTCCTAACTAGAGAGAGAAAATGTATTCCTTTTGTAAACAGAAGGGCCCGTTTGGTAACATTTACAAAATGATTTGTTTTGAATACAAAAATAAAAATGAGATTATTTTGAGAATCATTATGAAGCCGATTCTGAAATTTAATTTTTTTAAAAGATTATTTTTAGTACAATAAAAAAGTGAAATCGTGTTTGATTATAATTATTAATTAATATATTATAACATTATTGATAAGTACTAAAGAATAAAAACATAAAAAGAAAAATAATTTTCAACCGTTTTTTAATTCCTTCACAAAAATTATTCTCACTGCCTTTTGTTTTCATTTTTATTTTCAGAACATTTGCTAAATAAATATAGTTTGCAAACCGTTTTAATTTTTATATATCAAAAGACGTGCATAAACGTTTTCAAAAACACTTTAGAAAGATTTTTTATCCTCTCTTCTTCTGAGTAGATCATCTTCGAAACGGAAATGTTGCTTCCCGGATGCCAGAAAAGCGATAGTTGAAGATCGTAATCTGATTTTTAACTAGCTACTAAAGTAGTTTTGGCACACTTGCTATAGAAATTAGATCTTACCCGCCAAATTTATTTGATAGAGTTAAAACCAAGTAAATTTTTTAATATAAATCTAATCATATCCAGACTTGCTTTGGAAAGCGTTTAGGAATCTATCGCAATTCACGATTTCCCTCGCCATTTAACTTGATCATAAAGTCGTCTATTATTATTATATTTTATTATTACCATAAATATTGTTATAAGACCGATACAACAATAATATTTTGTGTGCACAGAACAATTTAATAATACCTGTAAAAACAATAACTAGAAATTGTTGTAAAAGTAAAATTATGCAAATTAAAGGACACAATAATATGATTATTTAAAGTTGAAAAAATCCTTTCAAAAAAAAAAAACCATAGGTACTAATTACACTCTCCAAAGCAACAAAATCAAACAAAGTTTGAGAGTAATAAATGAAGGCTAAAACTAGCTCTGAATTCAAGATTCATAGTTGCCGGGGAATTATTTTATTCTTCTATTTTTTCTTTTTCTTTTCTCTTTTTTATTTCAAGAGATAGAATAAATAAATTCAAGATTCATGTTGAGTTCCAATTGCAATCCTAGAAAAATAAATTAGTTCATCATAAAATTAAAGAGCAAAACTGAATTGAGTATTATCATCATTAAAATTACAAATCAAAATAGAAGAGAATAAAGATTAGGATGAAAACTGGTGATCACAATCTCCCTCTCTTTGATCCTTCTTCCTCAATTTGCAATCGAAATAGAAGACAATCTCTCTTTGCGTTGCTGAAATTCTCCTCTTTGTTTTGTTTTTGCCTCACTCCCCCTCTGTGCACACAAGTCCATCTCTTGGTTTATATAGTCCTCCGTAGAGGAAGGCTTTGAATTTCAAAATTCTCCCAAGAGATAATCCGAATCTTTTTTTTGGATAAGCATTACAGTTTATCTTCTAGCATTTTAAACAGCAACTGCAGCCTATCTTTTTGTACTCCAAATTTAGAATTTGCCACCTGGACGCTCAGCACTTCACAATTATTTTTTTTCTTTTTCGGAAAGGAAATTTATATTTGAAAATCCACATTATGATCATCCAATAACCTTTCTCTATTTCACCTGTGAAGCACATCCAAAACACTCGAAACACCATTAAAATGGCTGTCAAACTAACAAAACTCTAAGTCAAAAGTATTCAACTTATCGATATAAAACCGACTTATCAATTTGCGAGTGTCATGACAAATTTGGTTAATCTATTTAAGTAAGATGATTTAACATCCTTATATGACTGTGATTATGTTTATATTTAGATATTTTTACACTTAGCAAAGATGAGTTGAGGATAAAAGAATTGAAGACCTAAGATGCAATGAGAAAAAAAAAAAAGAAAGAAAAAGAATAAGAAATTGCGGCTATTAAAAAGGTGGCCTTGAGAAAAAAAGGGAAGAAGAAATTGCGGCTATTAAAAAGGTGGCCTTGTTGCAATCACTTTCACATTAGGTCAGTTCATTTTACCGATTCGAGTTTAGAATTTGAGTTTTGTTACAGTAAAATGTTCTCAGAAACAGTCATATTTAACTTTTTTCCTACAATAAAAAGCTCTCACATAAAGTCATGTCTCAACTCGAATTAAAAACTCGAATCAGCAAACTAAACAGTTGTGTTGTTTTGATAATATGTAACCAGTTTATACTCCTCTTTTTTGTTTATAAAAATCGTTTTGTATTTATTTTGTATTATTGTCATGAAACCTTGAATGGGTAAACATGAGCACAATGGGGGCGTCCAATATTTGTCATTTCTACGTCCTTGATGTCCTAATATCACAAATCAATTTGCATTTGCAATACTTTACCACGTCAAAACGTAGCCAGAGGACTCGACCTTATGAATATTGCTTATGCTCGAGGTAATTCATTAGCTATTTTTGTTTCTTGGATTAGTTTAACCAAAAAGTTTTTTTTTTTTTGGCTCTAAAAAAATTTGAAGAAATTTCAATTTATGAACTGAACAGGCCATAAAAAGCTCATGTCTTCGTCCACTACTTGACCAAGATCCACCTTAATTCAAGCTTTCTTTTATTATCTTTTAACAAAATTGTCTTAAATTTGCCCAGGATATTATAGTTTGTTATAGCTCAATTTTAGTGAAACCTGGTTCTCTATCAGCAACGGTGACAACTTTCTCTAAATACATTCTAAAACCTTATATTATATAGCACTCATTCTTATGTTTTCTGTTTAAAATTTCAAAACCGGGGCCTTATTAACGAGACAATTTTCCATTAAGGGGCCAAATTTGAGTGAAAATCGGTTACAATCGTTACTTTTAGAAAGCTAATTGTTCAGGGACTTCCAAAAATTTTATCTTGTAATGTAGATATATATTACCTACTAATGGATATTATTGTTTTAATCACAAGATATTAATCCGACAGTTGTAATAAATTAAATAGTTGACTAAGAAAATTGTTGACAATAATAAAATACGCCACGTCTTTAAATTTTTATATTTAAAGATAAACACCAATAGAAACGTAATCATTGAAAACTTGTTCATATTTTTTTAAAAAGAAAAAAAGTCCATATTGTACATATATATTATATACACACATTTTCAATCTAAAAAGTCTGAAAACGAGGCACCCCATGTTGCATTTTCATATTAAAGAATTATATACCTTAACATTACCATTAATGTTGCATGCATGAAGGTAATAATGAGTTCTGTGCCGTTGTTTATTTTTTATTTTTTAAGATGGGGATATTGTGCATATTTGAATTTGGACAGTAGACCACTTGTGAAATAGAAGGGTAATCTTTAATAAATATCTTTTAAAAGTGTATTGGTCAAATTTTTACTATTTATTTTTAATTTATAACTATTTTAATTAAATAATTACACTTAAAAAAGCTATTTATTAAAAATAAATATTAAAGATTCAGATTCATCCATTTTCATAAATTCTCTATTTGAAAGTAGAAAGTTGATAGATGTCGAATTAAAGAACTATTTAACAATCAAGCAAGGGCTAAAGTTGGCAGCAAGAAATGACTTGATTTTATCTGTAGACAATCACAAAGCAAAAGCGAAAGTTAAAGAAACTAAAATGGGACAACTTCGAGAACACCAAAAAGAACAACGCTTTATTCGCTGCCCAGACCACCCAACGACGGACGCGAGACTCCTTTTTCCTTCTTCAGTTTTTGAAAACCCCAACACTTGAACTTGGCCTTTCTTTGCGGGAGGATTCTTGAGCAAGGTATAATAAAAAAATAAAAAAAAAAAACTATTTTTTTAGGGGGAAAAAAAAACTCAATGTAGTGACCACCTTAATGTCTATTGCTTTGTAAATCCTCCTAAACTAAAAAGGGACCAAGTTACTCAATGTAGTGTTTTTATGCGGTCAAAGGAAATATATGCATAGGAAGTGAAGTGTGAATAACATTGAGTATTATTAGGGCTCTCAATATTACTTTGAAGTTTTTGTACTAATTTATAAGGCGTGTGAGTTATCATCTTATTATTTTAAAAATAACATTTCAATACTAATTAATGTGATAAAATATTACTGACAATAAAAAAATGTGATAAGTTATGTACGGTTATTAAAAAAAAAAAACTCACATAACAAATTAATTAGTAATTAATAAGTTTAGATAAAAGTTGAGACTCCTATTATCCTTACAAAATAAAGGTCAAACTTCAATACTTTTAATTGAAGAGCGTAGGCGTTGATCTGTGTGTGCTTACTCAAGTAGGTTGTTCTCAACACATATAGCCGTTGTAATTAAAATGGGATTTTACCGCCAGCTTTTACCATGAAAGTTGGTCGTCAAAACCCAAAAGAAAATAAAATAAAAAAGAAAGCATTTAACGGAGTTAATGAAACGTGTAAGAAAGCCCACCCGTGTCAGGATATGGTGAGACGTACGGAGGATCGTCCGATTTACATGTTTCGCGAGACAAAAGCAGTCCTTGGCATGATTGCTGGAGCGTCGGACCTCCATTCTCATCAATAAGGAAAAAAATAAAAAAATAATCCAGTTCCCACGTGTCACATCATTTCTCCATTAATTTGCTCCTCTGTTTCACGGTGTACGCAGACGTCCTACACCCTACACAAAATAGTAATTTCATTCGATCATCTTTACTGATTCCCTCGCTGGTTGGCCCACTTTTCACCTAAAGGGGTGGAATAATCAGAGAAGTGGAAGCGACAGCGATTCATCGTCGTTTCCATTTTCTCGTAAATGGATATAATGCAAGGGCACGATCGTCTTTTCGGTCAAGCTTTCATCTCCGTCACATGCTCTTGTCAATTCATTCTTACGATTGATAACCTCAAACGACAGGTCAAGGCCATCAACTGACTTTCCACACCTAAATTACATTACCACCCCTTTCTCCTTTCTTCTCGTTTACCAAATACCAACACTCTGGTTTTAGGCTTTTACACTAACAAAACCTACTCTCCTCTCCCTCTCTCTCTCTCTCTCTCTAGTTGCGGAGAAACAATGGCGAAACCCACCATTTGTTTTCTGCATTTCCTTCTTCCATTCTTACTCCTCGGAGTTTCTTCGAGCTCCGACATGGAAGCTTTAATGGCGTTCAAAGCGGCATCCGACGTCTCCAACAAGCTCACCCATTGGAACTCAACCTCAAACCCTTGCTCTTTGCCCGGCGTCTCGTGCACAAACGACAGAGTCTCTCGTCTCGTCCTCGAGAACCTTGATCTCCACGGCTCGTTCCAGCGTCTCACTGCCCTAACTCAGCTCCGAGTTCTGAGCCTGAAAGGAAACAGCCTCACCGGTCACATTCCGGATCTCTCCAACTTCACAGCCCTCAAACTCCTCTTTCTCTCCCACAACAACTTCTCCGGTGGGTTTCCGGCCTCTCTGACGTCTCTGTCTCGTCTTTACCGTCTCGATCTGTCTTGCAACAACCTCTCAGGTGAGGTTCCAGTTTCGGTCAACCGTTTGACCCATCTCTTGACTCTCCGGCTCGAGTCGAACCGGTTTTCTGGTTCTATCTCCGGTCTGAACGTCCCGAATCTCCAGGACTTCAACGTTTCAGAAAACAGCTTCTCGGGTCAAATACCCAAACCCTTGTCGGGTTTTCCAGAATCCGCGTTCTCCCAAAATCCGAACTTATGCGGATCTCCGCTCCGAAACTGCACGGCGATTCCTGTCAACCCGACGAAGCCCGGATCCGATGGCGCAATAGCGTCGCCGCTGGTGCCGGGGACCAATTCGACGGTCGTGGCGTCTTCTCCGAGCTCGTTGCCGATAAACTCATCCCCCGAGAAATCGGACGGTAACGGTAATAATCGCCACAACGGGACGGCGAAAATCAGCACAATGGCACTAATCGCCATAATACTCGGCGATGTTTTGGTGATCGTAGTGATATCGCTTCTCCTCTACTGCTACTACGCATCGAAGTACCGCGACGGGAAGGGTACGAATTCGAAGCTTCTAGAAACCGAGAAGATTGTGTACTCGTCGAGCCCGTACCCTGCCCAGCCCGGGTTCGAGAGAGGGAGGATGGTGTTCTTTGAAGGGGTTAAGCAATTCGAGCTCGAGGATTTGCTCCGGGCCTCGGCGGAGATGCTCGGAAAGGGCGGGTTCGGGACGGCGTACAAGGCGGTGCTGGACGACGGCAATGTGGTGGCGGTGAAGCGGCTGAAGGACGCTCAGGTGGGAGGGAAGAGGGAGTTTGAGCAGCACATGGAGGTGCTGGGAAGGCTTAGGCATCCGAATGTGGTCAGCTTGAGGGCCTACTATTTCGCCAGGGAAGAGAAGTTGTTGGTCTATGATTACATGCCCAATGGCAGCTTGTTTTGGCTTCTTCACGGTAATTATTTTTAGTTATGACTTCCTTTTTTATTTTATTTGTTGGTTCTTTGCCTTTGTCTCTCAATTTGTTTGTTTTGTTAGTGTTTTTTCCTCAGCAGCCAAACGTAGGATCTGTAGTTAACAGTGAATAGTGAATAGTGAATAGTGACTAGTGAGTAGTTCATTATCAGTGTTTATTGCATATGCATATGCAAGTTGCTTTCAATCATCCCTGGATGATGTGTTCAGTAGTTGGGATAAGGATTTTTGGGGTGTTAGAATTAGATATAGGTCCCCAAGCTGTGGTGGTCAACAAGGGGTCAACATAAAAACTCACCAATTTGAGATATGTGTATTGTTTTGATGGCGTGGGGTCGTTTAGTCATTTCAGTTGCTTTGGAGTGAATCTGTATCTCTTCCCACTTGATGTGCGGACAAGGGAACAGTTATAGACGACGACGACGACACAAAACTGCAACTCTGCAAAAAGCTTAATTGCGATTTGGGAATTGGGAAATTATTATTGTGCCGATACAGATTACAGACTGTCCCACTGCGTATTGCTTTGCTTTTGCATTATCTAACATAATTAATTCGTCTTTATTCTCTTCTTTTTGTTCTTTTCCTGGTCTTTTTCCTGTTAATACGACCAAAAAGTAAACAGCTCTGCTCACTCTCACTCCCCTAAGCATTCCTCGGCCTTGGAGGCTTGGACCACATAATGCATGACATACGGGCTTTTGGGCCATGCCTTTTTTGCTAGACTTATTTACTGTTCATGTCCATAGACTAGACTAAAGAGTAGTAGTACTTCGGATAAAAGACTAAAATGAAAATCTGTTGTTAATCACCTCGGCACTCTTATTATAGATTTGAAGAATTTCATGGAAGAATTTCATGGAAGAATTGCATTACAGGATGTAAATAACACTATTGATAGGATTAGATTTTGTCATAATCATACCATTAAAAAAAACGTCAACTTAGAAGTACACTTTTGGATGTTCAATCATGTTTAAGAATATAATTATTGTTGAGTAGGTTAGAGAGAGAATATATAGTTTGCAACACCAAATAATTTTTTATTTAGCAAAAAAAAAAAAAAAAACGAAATATATATATATATTTTAAATATGTGTAATACTTGTTTGTTTCATATTCTATATATTTTGGTCTGTTTGATGCAAATGTTATGTTATATTTTTGTCCTCGAAATTAGAGTTTCAGTGATGTCTTGTGGCAGGTAACAGAGGCCCAGGAAGAACCCCATTGGACTGGACCACAAGGCTGAAAATCGCGGCAGGAGCAGCCCGTGGGCTGGCATTCATCCATAGCTCATGCAGGTCCCTAAGACTCACCCACGGCAACATCAAGTCCACCAACATCCTCCTCGACAACACCGGCACCGCCCGCGTCTCCGATTTCGGACTCTCCGTCTTCGCCGCGCCGCCCGCCGCCCCTCGATCCAACGGCTACCGCGCCCCGGAGTCCATCGACGGCCGTAAGCTCACCCAGAAGTCCGACGTCTTCTCCTTCGGCGTCCTCCTCCTCGAGCTTCTCACCGGGAAGTGCCCCTCCGCCGTCGACGGCGGTGTCTCCGGCGGCGGTGGATACTCCGGTGCGGTAGTGGACCTCCCGAGGTGGGTCCAGTCCGTCGTGAGGGAGGAATGGACGGCTGAGGTTTTTGACCTGGAGCTGATGAGGTACAAAGATATTGAAGAGGAAATGGTGGCTTTGCTTCAGATTGCCATGGCCTGTACGGCTTCTACGCCTGACCAACGGCCCAGGATGAGCCACGTGGGCAAGATGATCGAGGAGATTCGCGGGGTCGAAGTGTCGCCGAGTCATGACGGGTTGGACTCGGTGTCTGAGTCGCCTTCTGTGTCGGAGGACACGTGCGGAGCGAGTCAGTGAAAATGATGGTAGAGGAGATTTTTTATATATATATATTATACGGAGGAGAATGGGGAAGAAGAAAACGTACGAGGAAGACACAATTTGGGTGCTGTAATGTAAATCACGGGGTTTTGTTTTATTTGTTTTTTTCTCTTGTTTTTTTCCCCCCCTAAAAAAATATTATTTCGTGTAGTTTTGTCTTATGGGCTTTAAGTTGGCTATTTAAAGCGATTGCGGAATTCTTATATACAAGAATTTTTGCTTATAAAGATATTCTCAGTCGTTGGAAAAGAGCAGCACTTTTTGCTCTTATGATTCACCAAATTTGTTCCGTAGTGAAAAAGAAGTGATTTTAGACTAGGATGATTATGCAGAGGAGACATGATTAGCTAAAGTGAGCGGAAAAAGGATTAAAAAAAACTCAGCTACTGCAGCTATCTGTTTTGAATGATTTTATTAGGGTACGATAAAATTTATGATAAGATGAATTCTTAAAGTTAATGTTATAGTTGCTATAATGCGAGAATCATATTTTTTTTAAGCTATAATCACATTTTTTTTAAAGAATAATGTGAGATTTTGTTTTATATTGTATGTTTAGGTCTCATTTATTTTACCGATTTAAATTTAGAATTCGAGTTTTATTACAGTAAAAAACTCTCACATAAAATCACATCTAAATTCGAATTAAAAACTTAAATCAACGAATTAAACGGTCCCTAACCTTTTTTCCTCTTCTTTTGTTTAGACACTGTTTGTCTGTAGTTGTTTTTTATTTTTTATTTTTATTTTCTATTTTTACTTTTCAGCGAGGGTGAACATAAGAAATGCTAGTTAAGAGTGTTTTTTTTTTTTGCTCTGAACTAGTTAAGAGTCTGCTTTCACACTTTTGCCCTCAATAGTACTTAAGGGGACACTGAAATGCTCTCAACCCACATGACTGGAAAAAAGATGATAGTTTTAAGTGGGATAGTCATGAAATTGTTGCCACATTGTTAGACATGTCTTCTTGAAATATAAAACAATAAAGATAAAGTACTTAGCGGGCTTGATTTATTTGAAAACATACTTATGAAGTAATCAAAATGCCCAAATCTTGCGGGCCTTGAGCACCGTGCATAAATGAATTGGAAGAGAAAGGTCTAAATGCAGAGGATTTGTGTTCTTTTAACACCCACTAAAGACTGTTTGCCACCGCCCAAGTGAGTCAAATTCAAAAGTTAAAAAAAGCTCCACCAAAAATAAATTTTAATTAACAATATATTGCAATTACAAAAAAAAAAAAAAAATCAACAAATTGAAACAATAAGTGCAAGGACCACCTTGATTTTGTACCCGAAACTTATTGCAATCCAATGAATAAACAAATGAGGATCTCCTCCTTAATCATTGAAATGCATGATCTTTGGTGCAAATTTGAGTAGTCTATCCACAGTGCTAGGCAAGAACTTCCTAGCAAACAAGTAACATAAATTTGTGCTATTCTCATTATAAGCACAACCAGTATTATTCCTCCTCATACTCCTCAACAGCTCAAGCGTGACATCAGTTCTCCAAAACCGAGCCGGGTGTGGGCCACCCTTTGACCAGTCAACCCAAGTCAAACTCCTGTTGGAATTCCCTTCCCAAAATTTGATGCTCACCAACGTTGGCAAATAATGCTCGTCAGAATAACAATTGCCTCTACAATACTTTTGGAAGATAGGAAAATACTTGCTGTCCGATACTACTTCAATGGCTAATTCCCTGTTCATTTCAAACCACTGAGACCCTTTTCTCCACTGCTTGAGTGAGATATCCGGGTACATGTGGTAGTTGTATCGGCCTCGGCCTACGACTCCGGGCTCGTCATATGCCATGACATGGTTCTTGGTGGCGTTGATGAGGTAGTTGTAGATGGTTTTGAAGTTGTAGAGTGGGATACATGCCTCCGAGAGGAGGATGAATCGCTCGTTTGAGACATCGAGAAGGGCATTGGTTAGAAGGCGCCGCTCCGCCTCGATCATGTTCACCTTTCCCCATCCAACTTCCTGTGGAACATGAAAAGGGAAGATGAAGCATCAATGTTGCCATATGCAAGTGTCAACTACATGTCTGCCTTTTGTTTTGGATGAAAATTACTTGTTGCTTGTGTGATAATGCCATATTAGTTTTTGCGGTCACGTCCTAGAATATATTGCTTTCTTGTTGTGCAAGGAAGATTATTAAACTTTAAACTGATTATATGAATTTTCAGTTTGGTTATATGTAGATTAAACATGTTACCACATATCAATATTCAAATTACAAAAGCATGCATGATAAAATTTAGCGTGGAACCGCGCTATATATATATATATATATAAACTACTTTAATGACTATTAAATGACACATAAATAACTAGGTCCTAGCTAGATTTACTTTTTATGAAAATGTTCATTTATAATTACTAATTACGAAGTGTTTAAAAAGTGGCGTTAGACTCAACCATTACCATTTTATGTGAAAGACTTTAATATGTTTAGTATTTTCTGTCATATGGCCTCCAAGTTTGGTGCCATTAGTTGGGCAAGAGCGTTAAGTTCAAGAGCAATTGGGCAAACAAGTTAAGACAAGTTCACTATTTGTGTGCAAGGCTTTATGTTGCTACTTGCAAAATTCAGGGACCATTTTAGTGTGTTTTCATTTGTTTTCTGTAAAAAAAGACTTAGGCATGTGGGCATATATGATTTTTGGTCATAAATCAAAACTATATATATAATCTCAGCCGGTTTCACCTAATTTGGAAGAGAAGGATCAAAATGGATGCATCTAAGAGAGTCTCCAAATCTGAAGTAGAGTACTTGGTTTGTTTTGATCATAATTGTGGACACACATATATATCTATCTGTTTTGCTGATTGGTAGGGACGGAAAAATTATATTGGTATTGATTGTTTTTGGTGAACCAAACTAGATCATCCACTTATTTCAATATCATGTAAAGGCTTGGCAAAGAAAGGGACTAAGGGCGCGTTTGCAATTCGTTCTAAAATGATTTTATTTTTTTGTATAAAAATGAAAATGAAAACGTTTTCAATTTCAGACAGAAATCATTTTTAGAAATGCGTTTGGTAGTTTTATCAAGAGATTGTTTTTAGTGTAAAAAAACATATTATTATCTCTCTTTCTCTCTCTCTGCTCGAGAGAGGAGAAAATGAAAAACGATTAAAAGTTATTTTTCATTTCTCTCTCATTTTACACTAAACCAAAAAATCATTTTCATTTTCGTTTTCTGTCTTTATTGCGCCAAACGTTGTTTTGAAAACGTTTTCATTTTTTCTTTCTCCAAAAACATGAAAAATAAAAACGGGATCGATTCCAAACATGGCCTAAAAATCGAATAATATCCTTATGGGATTTTCTCTCTTTCTCTTTTTTTTTCCTTTTGTTTTTTTTTTTTTAAAAGAAAACTTTTTGGTTGGGCAATGGGCTAAAATATAACTAAAACGAGATTAGACGATGGAAAAGAAATGAGAGTAAAGAAAGAAACACATAAAAATCATGTTATTGCATGCCATCAATCAAGAAGAAGAGAGATCATGATTGTGAAAAGAAATCTGTCTCCTTCAGCTGATTATTTAATTTGGCCATGCGTTAATTTCTAAAGATATAATATAACTTCATATATCAATCAATATGTGTATCTATAACTATAATTAGGTAGTTTGTCCTAGAGAGAAATGTATCCTCTTACAGATTTATTATTGGCCAACTACCTTCTAGCTTTCATTTTTTTACCTATCAACTTCATAGTTGATTATTTCTTTTTTTGGTATAAACTTCATAGTTCACAAGTTGTACAAACTCAATTATTGTCTTCCAAAACAAACAAATTTTTAATAATAAAAAAAAGAAAACAAAAAATAATATTCTCAAGAAAAATATTATCTAGACCATTGAAATTCCCTCAAAAATTAACTTTTTATCCTCTGTTTTGATTACAGAAGTTTCATCTGCAAATATATTGCACATTGAACTGTAAGATGCAGATCACAGTGGACTCTGGACTGAACATCCATTTTCGCTAATTTATTATATGATTTGTCATACTAAACCAATCATCAAAGAAAAACAAAACATAAGTACTAAATCAAGGTGAAATAAGAAAGAGGGAAAAGAAAAATTTAGAAAATAACTGACCTTACTAGGAATTCTTCGGCCATGGAAAACAGGACTTTCAGGAGCTGATCCATTGTAAGACGGATTCGAATGCACGTAAATTGAGTAGAGCCCTTCATGCCCTTTGAAGAATTGCTCCCACAATGGGGACATGAAAACGTGTCCCCTTACCAAGAACATGAAAGCAACCTTGGGAACTCGGTTGAACGGATATGCTGGAATCCGCGGAACCATGGAAGCTCTCCACAACAATTCTTTGTCGGTCATGTTGTGCATGACACTTGGAGGCTTCAAATATTCTTCCAATCCCAATATTTGATTGCTAATGTTGGACTTTGTTTCTGTTTCTTCTGTTACACTTACAGTCGGAATTTGCTTTTCCAAAGTTTGTGATGTAGTAGAAGATGATGATAACGACGACGACAACGATGAAGAAGATGGTGAAGAAGTTGAGATGGAGAATTGAGTGAATTGGAGATTGAATGAGAAATCCTTCATATATGTGGTGATGATGATTCCAAGTGTTAGACCACATCCAAAGAGAAGGAAATAACTAAGCATGTTGAGGAAATGAAGTTGGAAGGCATTAGAGAGTTTTGAGAGCAAGTTTAAGGGCTTTTGGTTTTGACTTTGAATACCCTTCATTTTTTAGCCTTTGGAGGAGATACCTTTCAAATGATAAATCTCAAAATCCCTTGTTGATCCCAAAAAAAAAAAGAAAGAAAAAAAAGTTGTTTGGACAACAAGCGATGAAAGTAGAAAGCTTTGAGGGAAGGAAAATTTGTAGATACCCGAATAAAAAGGCGAAAGAAAAAAAAAAGAGAAAATTCAATGGTTTCTTGGCATGGAAGTATAATCCTAATTTCTAAGATGAAAAAATTTCAGTTTTACAAGTATGTGATGAAATAGCTAACGAAATAAGAAGCGACTCTTGTGAAACAATGAATCAAATGAACAAATTCTGCAACACGAACCATAACAAGAAACCAGAAGAACTTCCTTAACAAAGAAAAATGGCAGAGAGAGAGAGAGAGAGAGAGAGAGAGAGAGAGAGAGAGAGAGAGAGAGAGAGAGAGAGAGAGAGAGAGAGAGAGAGAGAGAGAGAGAGAGAGAGAGAGAGAGAGAGAGAGAGAGAGAGAGAGAGAGAGAGAGAGAGAGAGAGAGAGAGAGAGAGAGAGAGAGAGAGAGAGAGAGAGAGAGAGAGAGAGAGAGAGAGAGAGAGAGAGAGAGAGAGAGAGAGAGAGAGAGAGAGAGAGAGAGAGCTGAGAGAGCTGAGATAAGCTATCTTATAAGGCCGCTTTGAATATATCTTTCTCTCTGAGGGGCTTTTAACTTGTAATTTAACGCATAAAACAAGCTTCTGAAGGCTTTTTCTGCTGGACCATAGAATACGACTTCCTCTCTTTCAACCTTAACTAATTAATAATCAGTTTTGTATCTAAATCTCTTCTTTTATATTAGTTTAAAGCTAGAGAGTTACAATCTGGTGATTACTTAAGGAGTTGAGCACTCCATTTTCACACATACACCTCTCCTCCGCTGATGATTCCACAAGTTTTTAAATTGAAAACGACTTTCACTTTTCAATTAGAAGTTCCACGTAATTGTAACGAGAGAAATTAATAGTCATTTTTTTTTTTCTTATACCCTTTTATGCTGTGAATATAGAACGACAACACAGCCGTTATTTGTGGACTTTGGAACGTATAGAAATAGTATTAGTATAGTTCTACAAAGCGATTAAGAGCCGACAATAATTATGGACAATGAAATTCTTGCGTTAAAAGGAAACGGTGGGATTTTACGCGTTTCTTGTCGTTTGTTCATATCAATTATTTAAATCAGATCCCTTTTTTAAGGGAATTATTTAAATCAGAGCTTATGTCCTAAGATTTGGGAAGTGGGAAACTTCATAGCAAGTAAAGAAAAAAAACCAACATGTGAGACCTTTTTTTTTTTTTTTTTTTTTTTTTGATAATTGAGATAATGTCCTTTCGGTGAAACAAAATGAGTCATAGTTTTGATAATTCCACGTGCAACATATAGCAAAAGTCTTTCATTCCAGCCACCCCACCCGTTTTTCCACAGAAACATCCATGTAAAAGATAAGAGGAATTAGCAATTTGTGAGACATTTTATTTTTTCTAACAGCTAAATCGGGGACTATAAAATCAAGCAAATTCTTCGGAAGTGCCCCTACATGAGATTTATGACCACCAACGCGGTAATAGAGCCGATTTTGACTCTGCTGTTTATATTTTTATGGTTTAGGGGAGCATTTTGACTCTTTTTGCTGTATGCATGCACAAGCCAATTTTCGTAAAAAGATATGCTCTGGGCTCATTTTTTTTTTGGGAAATAATAAGAAATAGGCCAATATGAAAAGCTTAAGAAAGTATATAGGCCAACTTTTAGTTATAAAAATTAATAGGCCATAACTTGTCAAGTTATGGTTCATAACCAGACAAGTTATGAACAAAAACCGGGAATAACTTGTCAAGTTATGGTTAATAACCAAACAAGTTATGGACGAAAACAGTAATTTGGCCTATTTATTAACTTATGTAAACTATTGGTCTATTAATTTTAATTCATCTCAAGTCTTGGCCTATTTTCCTATTTTTTCCTTTTTTTTTAAATAATTAAGGTTAATGATTGAACGCACTGCCACGAACTCTTGTTTAAACATAAAACGTGGTATTCAACTCAGATTTTTTTTTTCTATCACCATTTCCACCACTCTCTCTGCATTCGACAATTAGAATCTATTATATTATTTTATGTTTAAATTATCATATTAATGGAGTATATGTGCTAAATAATGAATGCAGATGTGACAAATAGAATGACAAATACAGTAGCGCTAGCTTTTTTATTTTTTATTTTTATAATTTAATACCTCAACCCTTCTACTTTCATTTTACGTGCTTCATGAGTTCTCCTTGGTAAGATGATCATCTTACTAATTGTTCAACTATGCTTGACGAATGATCCTATTGCACACCCCTTATTAATGATTGATTAATCTAGATACTAAAGAAACAAACAGCCAATTAACGTGGACTAGGAAATACATTTCACGAGAAAATTCCCAACTCCAATATAAGAATGCAATATATCTATCCCATCCAAAACTAAAAAAATGCAAAATTAAGAAGAAAGTTTTAGAAAGAAAAACTAGAGAAAATTTTATTAATTTTATAAAGATATACAAAATGAAAAGTCTTAAAGCTCTATTTATAAGAAAATTTTCAGTAATATTCACAATTATTATTTACAAAGTATTTACTATTTTCAGTTAATATTTACACAATAAGATTTTGACATGAACAATAATTTTGACTGATTTACATAATAACTTTAACTAAAGTACACAGTTAGTATTCATAACACATCCAACATAACACATCCAATATATAGTCCCCACTTTGGTCATTTCCGGTGGCTTTGTTTCGTATACCAATTGACCAAAGAGTTCAAAGCAATACAAAACCAAAGCTTTGACTGTTTTCCTAAATTAAGAAAACGGACAATTCATGTGAGGGGAGGCGGTTACTAAAAGACTAGTCAACGTACCTCCCCGAATAGTTATTTTCTACCTTGATATTGACTTTTTCAAGATGAATATTCCCGCGTTATTAGCTGCACCAGTTTACACTCTTTTTTCTTTTTTTTTTTTTTCATTTTTCTTTTTAAATTTCCAAACAATAAATGCTATAATATAGGCCAATACACTACTACATTGTCTCCTTTATTGCTGTATCAGTCTCGCTATCTTGTGTGTAATAGCGAAATATTAGTGGATTTATTAGAATAGCTTAATAGATGATATTAATTTGAAAATTCTGCATGGTTTATAATTTGTTGAATTTATAATATTAATTTATTATTGTTTTTATGGCTAAAATAATATATTAATTATTGTTGTCGAAGAAAAAGAATATAGTAGGCCATATATGTAGCGACCCTCTTTTGAGGCCGCCACTGTAACTAACTTTTTAATTTGTACTTACTGAAATTTCTTAAAATTTACGGAACATTTTTTTTTAAAAGGTCTTATTATAAACATAAAATACGAAATTGCTTTCTTAATTAAAATATTCAAACCTTAACATATCTGTGTCATAATCATAATTAACAAAACTATTTGTAACATAAAGCTGATTGCGGAAATATTTGCGAGTGGTATCCATATCCCGAGCCCCACCTCGTTCGTCCACTCGCCAGCAGTCCATCAGGCATTATATGCCGGTTGCTTACCTACAGTATAAACATTCTATAATGAGCTTTCGCTCAGCAAGTAGGAACTATCTCCCGCAAAATAACTGTAAGTTCACATGAATAAATATGCATGAGCCAATTATGCTTAATTATGATGTCTTATCAGAATCTTATTATCTTATCTTATCTTTCTTACTGATGGGCCCGAGTGCTCGTACCACTTGCGCGCAATCATCGGAACGTGAGGGTTTGCAAGGTCCCCCATGACACCGTGATTATAACTTGAATGCCTCCCTTGAGTCGGAGGACATCATTATTATTATTTTTTCTCCCTTGTGGAGCTTGAGTTACCTCCCTTGTGGAGGCTGGGACGGCACTCAACTGAGATTACTCTTATAAGTTCATCTTGACTTATTAAGGTGTATGCAATATGACCTAGCATAGCATACTATATCATGTACTCGAACACATATAATTCGGGTGTACTGCCTAAGTGTATGTAGTATAACGTAGCATAGCATTCATAACATTAAATGTACTCAAACATATATAGTTCATGTGTACTGTTTACTTTAAAATCTATTTATACTGTAGGCGAGATTCCTACTTACTTGATTTTCAAAGCTGGAATCCCTTTTTCGCCTATCAGCCTAGTCTCTTGCTTTCTTCTGAAACTGAACACCCATTAAGAGTGTGAGATTAACTATTATTTGCTATTTTATTTTAGCAACTTATGAAGGAAAATCTAACCATTTCCATAAGGCATATATTCCTTTCCTTTACTAAAGGATAATAAAGATTAATTTATTAAATCTTCAAAATCTTATTTTTCTAAATTTCCCTTGGTATGATATTAAGGCCCAATTCGGCCTAGGACTTATACATGGCATTCTAACTTTTACGCCGCTGAAATTTATACTCCAACGGAGTCTCTTAAACTAATGTGGGCGTTGGACCCACATTAAATATTCGAAATTCTACGGACCTATCGTATTGGGCTCGTAGGTACCCGTCGGGATAATTCGCTCGGTAAACCTCTACGTTCTTTAAAGAAATCATTTTTCCTTGAAAAATTCCTTTATGAATACTTTTATTAAAATGAGGTTTAATGTCATTGTATTTTACTAAAATTCTATCTCGGGTTCTTTTATGACTTTTGTTGAAACCGCCACTGTTTTAGTTTTGTCTCGTTAAAAACTGTGCAGTTTCTGAAATCTACGTTTTACTGTATCTTAGAGTCGGATTTCAAAATTTTGTTCTTCGCGACAATTTCTCGTCTCGTCGAGATCTAAAATTGTCGTTTTTAGTGAAGATTGAAATTCGGCCTCTAAAGGCCTCGTTTGGCTGAAAACCGTAGCTGTTGTTTTGTTTTAAACAGTTTCAGTCAAAAACTGTACCGTTTCGGGAATCTATGTTTTAGTACCTCTTAGGGTCGGATTTTGAAAATCTTTTCTTCGTTAAATTTCTTCCTCTCGTCGAAAACTAAAATTGTCACTTTTGTGAAAAATCAAAATTCAGCCTTTAAGGGTCCCGTTTGGCTGCATTGGTGGCTGCCAGTTTTTTTTGAAACTGTCTTGGACAGATTGTCCGTTTTTGCAAAATGACTTCAAACTTGGTTTTAGAGTTAAAATTAGGTTTAGTCATAGTAACCGAAATTGTTCAACACATCCAGGGCTATAAGTTCAAGCTTTAAAACATTGAAAAATCTCACTCTATGACCCTCATTTTCGCGGTCAAAGTCACCGGAAATTTTTTCCTCTAATCCGAAAATAAGCAACTTAAATCAAGCATAAACATACCACATCAAGCTAACCTCAAAACTCACAAAACCAACATAAAACTCACACACCCTTATTACAACTCATCTCCTCAAGAACCTCAAATTTACATCCACAAATCCAAGCTTAAAGTTGGCTAGAAATTAATGGAGAAGAGTTTGAGAGCTTACCCTTGAAGAACTATCTCTCTCCCTTGAAAACTTTGAACTCCTCTAAGATTTGTTATTGGCTTGGAACTAGAAAGTATAAGGAAATTTAAGAGGAATATTTCTACATTTCAAACTTTACTAAAACATAACATAAAAAAAAGATTTAGAGTTATACCCTTTGAAAAAAATGCTTGTCTAGACTCCTCCTAGACCCTTTGGTCTCCTTCTTCTTCTATGGTTTGTAGTGGCTCAAGATTGGGGGAGTAGGAGAAAATATTTGAGAAAGAGTGGAGGAGTATGGTATGGCCGGATTTTGAGGGGGAGAGAAAAGCTAGGGAAAAAAAATGAGGCTTATCCTATGGTGGTTCCTTTTATAGGCACTTGGAAGCTATTTTTTTAACACCACATCAACTCTCTCAATCAACCAAATTTTGGTTCACTTTTCCCCAATCTTGGCCGGTTATGGAAGGAGAAAAGGAGAAGCCAAAATTGCCATTAATTCCCCTTCAACCCCTACCATCCCATCACCTTAACTTGTAGCCTTCTAACACACTCAACATATCACCAAAATTTTTGGATATAACTTCCTAAGGATGGCCGGCCAAGTGAAGAGAAAAAGGAGAAAAAAAAACTAATCATTAGTCCTATTCACCTCTCTCATCACATCTCATCAAATCACACACACTAACCTACACCTTGTACTTTTGTCCATTCCCTTAACTTACTCATTAAAACTGTCCAAAATCATACTGACAGTTATTTTCTCCTGTATACGGGTTCTGGATGCTAGGTTGTACTGTGCTGGGAGATTCTTAAAATTAAGATTCTCTAACTGTATCTATACTGGAAATTCTTCCGTTTTAAAGTACGGTGAGAATTTATCGATCGAATTTACTTGATCGGAAAAATCTGAACTTAACGTGAAATCTGCTACAGCATTTAGGAATGCAGATGTTAATTCCCTAAATGCTTCAATCACAAAATGTACATAGTATAATGATTTTCCAGGAAAATCCTTGACTTGAATACATGAATTATATTATTAAAATTATGGGATTTTTTTCTTGGTCACTACAATATATATATGAACGACCATATGTATACGTGGTCCCGTGGAGTCGAGATAAATCTATGAACGGGGCCTTAGTCCCGGTTCATTTCGTTAATTCAAGTTTTGCTATAGTTTAAAGCTCTCACAAATAGTCATATCTAACTTTTTTACTACAGTAAAAAGCTCTCACATGAAGTCACATTTCAACTCAAATTAAAAACTCAAATCAACGAACTAAACGTTAATTTCTGCTACTTAACAATGTATAATCGGTGGGATAGTACCGTACTGATCCAAATAAGCTTTTGAAAATCCAATAAAAAAATAAAATTTACTGGCAATGTGATCATATGGACAATTTAAGTAATTAAGTTAAATGCTGGTCTTTTTTATTTATTTCATTCTTTTTGATAGACATAGGGTTGATGAGTGCTAGACTAATACGAGAGCTCAATTATGTAGTGATGCTATTAGCATCATATTGAGTTGTAATATTTTACTAGTACTAATTATTGAAACCGTTTAGATCTATTAAAATAAAGAAAAAAAAAGAAAGAGAAAAAGAAAAAGAAAAGAAACTAAAAGAAAAGAAAGAAAGAAAGAAAGAAATTATAGTTCAAAACTTGCATGCATTAATTCCTTATTGATTATACTCTTATAGCAACCATACTACAGCTACAAAGTAGAATTCCTGTCAACTTTCTCTCCATCTGAAAAAAAAAAATTCAATTATGAAAATTCCAAAAAAAAAAAAAAGACTAGAATAGTTTACTAGCAAGTAAATGACTAAATATATTTTTCAGCACAAAAAAAGAAGAGGAAAAAAGAGGAGTAATATATAATTAACTAGCAAGAACACAGGTAACATAAGCAACAATATCATGTTGTTCAGACATTAAAACCAAGCAAATCAGGAGCTATTTTAAGCAAAGGCTTTAGTGTGCTAGGATGAAATTTCCTGGCAAAAAGGAAGCAGATTGTGCTCATGCGACCATTATAAGTGCAATTAAACCCATGCCTTATCCGATTCAAAAACTCTTGAGAGATCTCTCTCCTCACAAACGTTGTAGGATGTGATCCAGTACCTCTAGACCAATCAACCCATGTTATGCTCCAATTTGAGGTCATTTCCGGACAAACTATGTACACTAAGGTCGCCAAATAATGCTCATCCATGTAACAAGGAGGCTTGCAATGCTCCACAAACACCGGATAATACCTTACATCGGACACTATCTCCACGGCGAGTCTCCGGTGGGCCTCGAACCACTGCGAGCCCTTTCGCCAATTGGAGAGTGACACCGTGGGCCACATTCTCTTGTTGTACCTTCCACGGCCTACGTATCTTGGGTCGTCGAATAGGCCCACGAAGCTTTGGTTGGAGTTCATAAGGTGGTTGTAGATTGTGGTGAAGTTGAATATGGGAATGCATGTTTCTGATAGTAATATGAATCTCTCGTTGGAGAAATCCAGTAGAGCATTTGCTAGTAGGCGTCTCTCTGCGTCAATCATTGTTTTTCTTCCCCATTGAACTGGCTGCATAATATAGTAATTACTCGAGTTTAACTTGCAAATCTAGAAAGATCTCGACTAATGCTAATTTTTGTCGGATTATACACCTAAATGTCATTCTATTGGGTTACTAATTTGTAATTCTCTAATATTTTATTCCTCGTCTCATTTCTATTCTACTAATTATGAACATTATTAAGTACCTAATCTAATTGATAATGTATTTCAAAGGGAATATGGAAATAGACAAAGGTGTTTACTAAAGCTTATAATTTCTTAATGGAAAAATATATTAAAGCTTAGGTGTTACGTACTAAACTACCACATGTTTAATATCAATTACCTATGCCACAACTTATAACAAATGGACCCACCTGAATAATTAATATCTACGTTATTTCTAATATGTTAAAATGATAGTAGGCATGTGTCTCGATCTTGACATTATCCAATTAATCATCGCATGATTGTTACGTGATTTTATTAGCTATATATGTTAAGAATTTGGATGAAAGGGCCCTTACAAATTATATTCAACACAATTCATCGATTACAAAAATAATTGGAGGATCTGATTTGATTTCTTACGTTTGAAATGGACAAAAGAAAAGTATCAAATTAATCACCTGGCTTGGTATTCTACGCTTGTAGAACACTGAGGATTCCGGTGGCTCGTACGTGTACTCTGGAGACGTATGAAGATAAATGGAATAGAGATCTTCATATCCGTTGAAAAACTTTTCCCAAAGCGGAGCCAATGGCAATCTTCCCTTGCTTAAGAACATGAAAGCCAACTTTGGTGTCCGATTATAAGGGTACTCAACAACCTTTGGCACCATTGAGGCTCTCCAAAGCAGCTCCTGATCACTCATGGAATGCCATAGCTCTTTCGGAGCAATCCAATCTATCAATTCTATTCTTGGCCGGTTCGAGAAATCAAACGACATCGAACCGGATGATAGTGGTAAGTCGTTTCGGAAATTGGAATGTGAGGAATAGTCATTCAGCTGAGGGAAGAAAGAGTCTTCTGGTAAGCTCAGGAACTTTCTGATTCTGTCGTGGATGAATATGCCTAGGACGATCGCTGAGAATGTCATTAGTAAAAAGATTATAATTGTGGTTCTGACGTGAAAATTTCCTTCATTTACTTCCTTTTTGATCCTTATTGAAATGTCTTTTACAAAGACGGTCATTTTACTCTCCTTCATCTCGCTTTTTTTCTTTTTTTTTTTTAAGAACTTTGCACAATATATTCAAGCAAATTAAATGGTACTGTACTTGAAATGTTTGCTAAGGTTTATGAATGAAGATGCAGATTCATGAGGCTAGTTGGAGTTTTATTGGCTTATGGGACGTAAAACGTTTTGGATGAGGAAAGAATAACACATGAGAAGTGCCACCTAAGGTCGTGGATAATAGTTTTCTAAGTGCTCAGAGAACGTTATTTGGCAGGGACTTGAACATGAGTATCATGTGTAGTGACAAACGTAATTTTGTGAGAATATGAATGTCTCTTTTTTGTTTTTCTTTATTCCTTTTTGCTGAAAATATTAGTATCCCTTTTTCTATATAATGTTGGGTTAATGGCTCCACTTAACTGATAAAAAATGAAACCATGAATTTGAACTGTATTGGACACAGACACATAACCACGCACTCAATCACTTGATCTAACCTCAAGTTGCTAAAATATCAATATCCACGTATACAAAGTATGAATAGGAAAATAAAGGCCCTTTTTTCCTTTCATCCTCACATTTTTGGCTCAAGGCCAGTTATTTGTATTATTCCTTTTTGGTGCTTGACAAGTATAATTATTATTATATCTTCCTGATATGAAGCTGAAAGTAAGATTCTTAACGGTTTCCCAGGCGCTAATTATAAATTCTATTTCCCTCTATCATGCAAGTTAATAATTTATTTATAAGAACATGTCCATGACAGTATATAAGCTTTGTTCGAACCGTCTCATACAGACGGATCCTCACACTATGATCAGCAATAGGATGAAGTCATAGAAGTTTCTAAAGCGAAGCTTATTAAAAAATAAAAATAATAAAAAAAAACCACAAATACAGACAAACAAACTAGAGTCACAGGAAATGGTCGATGGTACTTTTTTTTTTTTTTTTTTTCAATGAAGAACATCCATAATGTGGGAGCAATTCTAATTACTGCATCTGCATGCAATGGTTTACACGATTCTATCAAAAGAAAAGTTATGGTTTATTCGATGGCGCTATATCATCACAAATGTCAACAGTACACAAAAAAGAAAGGTCCCACGACTCCCACATAGACGAGTCCTTCTATGGGACCTACTCTTTGGTAGAATGTGACACAAGGTGGTGATCGGTGCATATATTGTACTGCTCTTATATGTATTGTTTATATGTATATTTTCCTTATATCATTCTGATGAATAACAAATTTCTAGTCTCAATACTACTGCTGTGTTTCCACAAATGTCCGCGTAAATGAAACTAATAACGTGTTTAAGTATTAGTTTACCCCATATTTACAGAAATATCAAAACTTAAATTTTATAGAAATATCGACGGAAATATCAATATTGATGGAAATTAACGTAAAAAAAAAGAAATTCATACTAAAACACTCTATTTTTAAATGAGATTTTAAAAACATTAAAATAGATAATAATACTTAATTAGACGAGACTCTCAATCAAATCTCTAAGTGAGAGAATGTAAGCATCGCCTAATAGGCCAAAGGCAGCCACAAATTTTGAAGGAAATAAAGAAAAAAGAAAAGGAGAGAGAGAAAGGGAAAGTCAGCACTAAATTCGGTGTTGACATTTGAGGGAAGAGCTAGTTGTTTATAATTGACTCATACAGTTTTTTCAGGGGAAACTCAGCTATAATAGAGCTCCTCCCTTTCTTAGTTTTGCATTCCATTCTCACCCTTTAGAGAGAATTCTCATAGTGTGAAGAGAAATTTAGTTTCTCTAATTTTTTTTTTTGTGAAGTGTTTCTCTTGTTTACATGAGAAAATGATTCTTATTGTTCTCTCAGTATAATTTAAAAAAAAGGTTGTAATCCTCACTTTTCATAATGAAATTCTTTTATACTTGTCCCGTAATTTTTATCCCGTCTCCTTTAAGAGTTTTTTACGTAAAATACTATGTGTTCATATTATCTTCATTTTTACTTATTTCTTAATTTACCGCCAGATTTGTCAACAAAAATTGCAGCTCAACAGCTGATCTCCAAGAGTATAGCATCGGTAATATTTGCTCCGCAGAAAACGACACCAAACGGGTTTTGGCCTTGCCTGATAACGACGTGAATAAGGTGGCTAACGCCTCTCAAAAGTGTGCAATACTGGAATTGCCAGTAATGGGACATAGGATTGAGAATGAAGGAATGAGAGAGATGCTGAACAGAGGATTCATGCTTAACTGGACTGCAGTTGACTGTAGCCTTTGCA